GATAAGAGAGGAGTTCACACAGAAACATGCAAATCACTTGGGCTTTTCAAAAGTGTGCTCGTCAGCTATTCAACCATTCGAAATGACTGCTGTGACTTTTCAATCAGGACCTGAATGGCTGAAAGAGAATGGTGCATTTTCACTAGGGATGTGAATGGCATAGGTTTGCCACATCAGGACCGAAAAATGTTTCATTGTGCAGAGTAGGACAATGTAGGAAGAGGTGGCAATGCATTTCAGAGACTGCATCTTCAATTGTTTCCAACCAGTCACTTGCCATCACAGTTAAGCTACTGTAGGCCAAGACAATAGTCCTTCTGTACAAAAGGAGGTCTTTATTAGAAGACTCTCCCTTGCTTAAGAAAGTTTTCTTAATATAGCACATAGAGGCAGTGAAAACTTTAGGAGTTTCCTTAAAGAAATGTAATTAAAATATCATGGTAAGACATTACCCAAAAGACTCTTAATCTTCAATGATTTTGGATAGCTGACACCTAAATAGATGTGCCATAATCTCCTTTCTGACATGTTAAGAATGTATATGATGAAAGGAAGACTTGGAGAGAGAGGTACTACTGATCATAGGATTAGCTGATGAAGTTGTAAAAAGCTATATGGTTTTAGGCGGTCAAGCATTTCTCTTGAAACCAAATGTATAGGAGAAAATACATTTCTTTGTCCAAATTTTACAAGTTCATCTTACGTTGCAAGATGCTATATATTCGGCAATAGTTTTCAGAAAATGGTTAGGCGCAGATTGGTGGAGGTAGCATGCACAATTGAAAAATAAACCAGTTGGAAGCATGCTTCTCCTTTAAGTTATTACTGTTCTAGCAAATATTGTTTTCTAGTATTAAATCATTTGGGTTTAAAAGCAGTCTTTTTCCCCTGGTGTTATAATGGGTCTGGAAGGATAAGAAACAAACTTTAAGGGTCATTCTTATCTTTACAGCAACTGACTGCTGCTGTGTTAACAAGTAGGAATAGGAACTGTTATCTTATTGTACTTGTTCAGAGTCTAGAAATAACTTTGACCTAAATCTTCTATTTCTGGAACTTATTAAAAATTTCTGTTGAGTTGAATAGTATAAGAATTTCCTTTCTCTCCACTTGTAACACTGATGATGATAGCGACAACATTAATAATAACTACTATTTTCTACCTCAGCATGGCATATACTGTACTGCATAGATCTGGAGTATGACTAGCAAATACTTAAGAACATTTACATACTGCAACACTATCTTGTTGAGCTTTTGGAAACAATCAGTGTTGTTCAATGTTTTGTTTGTTCCAGACAGAAATCTTGAATTTTGAAACTGTGAAAATTTGTTCATATTCATGTGATAGTCATGAAAAAATCTTTTTGTAAATAGGATGAATATTACTAGGTTTCTTCTTGAATCTCTTAATATTCTTGCATATTTTTGCATTTGGAGACTATATTTGGTGACTATACGTTCCACAGTATTTTACAACATCCTTGGTATGCTCATTCTAGGGAGAAGAGAGCTATGAGAATTAGAGACTTCCCTTGTTATACTAGCAAAACAAAATAACAGCAGAAAAAAATTAAAATGGACACATAGTAGGTTGTGAGCAGGAGATGCAGTTGATCTGATTGTTATACCTGTTTTAGGTACAACTGAGTGGCTTTCTCAGAAATATTCCAGCTGATATTCAGAAAATGAAGAATTGGCTATCACTTTAGTAGTAAAGTTCCATCACCCACTGTTTATTCCTATCTGGAAGTATAAGGGCTTTCTATATATTTTTCTGTAAAAAAACCCTTTGTCTCCAGCAGAAAAAATCAATGAGAATAATTTTCATGTCTAGCAGTTCATAGGCAATTTTCCCTTTTCTACCTACCCTATTTCAAAAGCATAGAAAAAAACCTGAAAAATACTATTTCTAGCAAAATCATCAGTTCACATGGACAGGACGAAGATGATTTAAAGTTATCTAACCAGCAAAATAGAAAAATAAAATAAAGGTAAAGATCCATGGGAAAGAAAGGACTACAGATTTTGGTATTCCAGCTTCAGTTTCACAAAGAATATCCAAACTTTAAATCAAAGGCTTATTATAAAGTAGAGTCCTTACATGCATGTAATGGTGTTCTGAGTGTTTTTAAATCCTTCTAACTTAAGTTTTTACCATAAAGATTGTTCAGCTCCAGAACTGAATAAATTTGTTGGGTTTTTTTTTTTCTTTGCAAATGTCATCAGTATCAAATGTGCAGAAAATTATGGTCTTGATGACGCTACTGAGAATTGAAAATAATATGTATGGGACCTGGACCAGAAGATATACTCCAAAAAGTTACTGAGCCATATTTCAACAGGGGATGATCCACTTACGTGGAAGAGAAAATCCAGGTTCTGTGAAAAACCTCCTGAATAAATACTAACATCAGTACTCCTGCTGACACCAATTTGGATTTCAAGAACATAACTGAGGCAGAATATGGACTCAAATACTGAGTCTAAGAAAAAATTGGAGACATTTAGCCATAAATAACAATATTGATCTCATAAGCACATCAGAAAATTGGGTGGAAAGGAGTTTGTCAAAAGGACATTTTAGTAACAGAACAGAATGTACAGAGGAAAGATAAGCGAGGTTATCTGTCTTAAGTGCTCTATGTTAAAGAAAACTCACATTAAAATCAGAAGAGCAATTTCATAGCACCAAAAAGTAACCCCCACGTATAAGATTCGAGGCCTTAAAATGTGCCAGTCCAACAGCTGCTCTCCAACAGGGACTGGAATGCATTTAGCCTTCCTGCAAGAGCAATAAAAGCTAACTCTCCTGCTTCTACACAGTTTGCTTACCTCCAGCAAAGCACTGCAAAAAATTTGGAGGTCACTGAAGAAGAGGAGTAAAGGGGCAGCTGTGACATCCAGACCCATAAAGGTTAAAAACTATTTAAGTGTACTAGATTCATATCAAAGCAAATGTTTATCATCTATCAGGAATGATTTGAGAAAGGAGTAAATGTAAAGTCAGGAGCATGTCAAACACAATCCTTATTTCACATATGAAGTTATGGTCAGCGGTTTTACCATTACGACTTCACGATGAGATCTTGAGGTAGTAATAGAAATTTCCACAGACATATCAGTTTTTGTGTGGTAGAAACTAAAAAGTAAACAGAATGTTTGGAACTGTTTGGAAAGGAATAAACAACAAAAGTGTTATGATTAAACCACTTTATACATCCATATGAGCTGCCTTCTCGAATACCATGTGCACTTTCGCTTTCCGAGAAGGAGGAGAAGGATGACCCGTGTTATGGAATGGCTTCTGTTGAAAGAAGTCTTCAATCTATTAAAGAGGTAACTGGGGGAGAATATGGGTCTATAAGGTCATGGGGAACTAATAAATAAGAATTAACTGTTCGCTGGCTTGTGTAATGTAAGTGTGAGGTACAAAATAGGTTAAGAGGTGTCACATTTCAAAGAAGCAAGAGGAGCTGGTTCTTCAACCAAAAAACCTTTTGCTGTGGAATTTCTAGTCAATGGACGTGCAGATACTGTGCTCCTGGACAAGGCAACTGTACTGGGCAGTGGACAAGCTATGGAGGAGAAATCCTTTCAGAGTTTTAGTTACATGGACACTGCTAATCACCCAGGAACTTCGTAAGAACAAGTTGTTGCAGACTAGGAAAAGTATTCAGGGGGTGCATCACTACACGCTAAACACTTCTTCTTTTATCCTTCACTAGAGGCCACCACTTTTGGAAGCATGACACCCGGCAGCATGGACCTTTGGTCTGACCTAGTATGGATGTTCTTAAGTTCTTTAAATAACTACAAGCGAATGTCTCAAAATTGTCACTAGAATGCAAGAGACGGCAAAAAAAGCCAACAACAGCAACCCAAAAAATGCTTATCCATCTGTTCTGAGTTTGTCAGTCATTTTGTACCCAAATAGCTTTCTTCCCCTTTCCTGTCAAAAATAATCAAGGCAGGTGTCTGGTGGTAAAACTGCACTGAAAAACTAATGTATCATCTCCTCAGTTATAAAATAAAGAATTAGAAATGCCAGAAGATCTGTAGCGCCACCCAAGACTTCTGGATTTTAAAGCAAATCATTAAGCAGCATCCTGTACATTATTATTTACATACAGTCATTGTTAGACCCACAGGTAACTCTCATATTGTGACCTTTCTAATGTAAGACAGGTTACAGCACATTACTGTTGCTCATAGAAGAATGAATCTACACACTTTTTTCTGGTATAAGTTTTTAAGCTATGCTGGGCTATCTGTTTCATTAATCTTCCTTTAGAGCTGTGTCCATTCTTTTACTACCAAGGTCCACCTGAGTAACTCATTAAAGATACTAATAGCCAGAGGTGGAAACACTGGGTTTGTATGATGTTGCAGGCTTAGTAGGGTGCAGATCATCACCTATGGTCCATTCACTACTCACTACTGAGTAATAGATGAAAGCATATGATACAGCAATTCAAAGTACCACAGGAAAAAAGGTTCTTCTTCAAAAACTAATAACTGTTAATATTTTTTCTTGGTAAACTTGTACTAGAATTCCAGTTGTGGCTTCAGTAAAGGTTTTTCTTGCCATTGACTTTCTCCTCATTCTTTACATGACTGAAATAAAAAAAATAAGTATAAAGGTAAATACTTTTTTTTCCCCCAGACACTTGAAGAAGTCCCATTTCAGTTTGAAAAGTTAAGTTGCTCACTGGAAATTGCAATACGATCTCCTGCTAAATGGAGCATGTGACAAAGGAATGTGCCCACTGGAGATAGTGCAGTAACAGCTTTATGAGGCTCTCACCACCAAACAATTGATTGATCAGGGATAAAGGCTCTTTAAAACAGCCTGACATTCAAGTACATCTTCACTGGAAGGAGAAACTATTTGCTGAAACGGGCATATGGACAACTATCCTTGTAACACATTCAGGATGACACAATGCATGGCATTCACCACGCAAGTTATTGGCTCCTTAACTGAATTACTAAATACAGAAACAAGAATGACATTTAGAAATATAGGACAAGATACCTAATTAACATGTCTACCAACCTCCCAAATACTGCAGTCTCTTTAAACGTATTATCCTTTTCTGCTCGCACATCCAGTAACTCCAGACAAACACACTATGCCCCAGGAAAAGAGGAGGGCAGGAGATGATTAGCTGTTCCACAGTCCCAAATTAGCTCTATATAGCAAAACAATCATTGCTAGAGAATTTCTGACTGTAA